AAGAGCATTAATAGTGTCATAGAAAAACTTTACGGCTATGTTGATGTCAACAGCACTATACAAATAGGACCAATTAGTTGCTGCAATAAGTTCGTTTAGCAAAGAAAAATTTCCTTTGCGAAAGCACAAACTAGTATTTTTGGGAATAAGTGCTGGAGTAGAGGTAGGGTTTGAAATTGAGAGGGAGATTTGCAAAGTAGGGTGGTAAGAATCTTCAGGCAGTATAAGGGGAGGAGACCTACAGATAACTGTACTAGCAGGGTCGGTGACAAAGACGAGATCAAACATTCTGCTTAAGTGATTAGGTATAGAATTAATTTGGAACAATGAAAGTATACGTGTCTGCAATGATGATCTCTTCAAAATCAGCAAATGGGCAAATATTAACGGATTGGAGGTCAACCCTAAAAAGTCAAAATGTTTAGTAATATATAAAAAAAAAAATAAACACACTCAATCTTGAGCAAGTACGCCTCAACAATGAGCCCATTACGTATGTAGAGCAGGCAATAAACCTGGGAATAAATATAAACCAAACATTAACTTGGTGTGACCATGTCAATAAGGCAGTAGGTAGATTATATAGCGCACTAAAGCGTCTGTCTTTGACGCAGAATTTTCTTCCTGTAAAACTAAAGCTCCTTATTGCCAAAACATGCCTGACACCTTTGCTATTTTATGTGATTGAACTTTTTGGATACTGCGATGCAGTAAGTCAAAACAAATTAAAAGTAGCCTTTAATAGCATAGCACGGTACATTTTCAACATTCAAAGAAGAGATTCAATAACGACATACACCAATAAAATATTCAATCTGACCCTTGACTCCTGGATTAAGCTTAGAACCCTAATCTTCTTGCACAAAATTATTGCACGTAAGGAACCAAATTATCTGCACGACAAAATTGCTTTCACGACATCAAGAAGAACGAACAACATAGTTTGCACTAAATTTAAATTAGCAATCTCGGAAAAACATTTCTTTATTTCTGCTGTTCGTCTGTGGAATGATCTTCCGCATAACCTAAAAACAATTAGCAGCGAGACGCACTTTAGAGTTAAGATTCTAGCACACTTACAAAACATTAACTAAATAAACGTTACCAAAAATTATAATTTTAACGACACACTTAGTTCAGTAGGCAATTTAGATTAAGTATAAAACTATTAAACTATTCAATTAAAAATATATAATAATAAAGAATAATGAAAATGATGAAATGTGAAAACTAAAACTATGATTAAATTGTAATGACTAGCGTAATAATTTAAAAGTAACCGATACTTGTAACGCTAGGATAAGGTTAATAAATAAATAAATAAAAATAAATAAATACTTACTATATATCGATCAAAAACAAAAAAAAAATAATAATAATTAGACTGATTGAAGAATGACCATTCAATGTTAGGCAAATTAAAATCACCTACCACAACGAACGCGTCACTGTCACGTAGGAGATTAGAGATTCGTTTTATATAGGTTATATGTTCCATATAAACCTGTATATCAGAAGAGGGAGGTATATAAGAACAAGAGATGTATAGTGCAAAAGACGGAAAAGATACTCCTACAGCAACAAATTCAACATCATTAGGTACATTTACATCAATTATTTCCGACCGATAGGAGGAATTGACTGCAATCAGTACGCCTCCGCCACGTCGAGCCGGACGATCTCGTCGAAAGATACAAAAATTATCTGATAAAATTTCGTTATCAGAAATCGTGGGATTTAACCACGTCTCTGAGAACGCAATAATATCAGATGCGAACGAAAAACTACTAAGAAATAAACTACTGAGCTTGGACACAATACCCCTAACATTCTGATATAGAATGTTTAACGAAAGTGGATCTCAAGGATCTCAAAAAGTATAAGGACTAGAATAACCAAACTTGGTATCCAGATTCTCCTGAGTTTGTTCATTTTTACTGATGCACGTTTTTAAATGAATGAAAGTTTAATAATGATAGGCCGATTTAACAGGAAGTTATAGGCATATGTATATATGACCAAGCAGTGCCCGCAGCTGTTGTTGTTGTTACTGCTTTGCACGCACACAAGAGACATACACAGACTCACACAAACACACACAAACACACACATGCACGCATTATTATTCTACACATATGTATGTATGTATGTACAGAGTATTTCAAAGTCAGAACACCCGACTTTTGATTCTCCACTTGTTTACTTGTTTCTTTTGTCTACGAGTAAGTCCGCACTGTACTAGTACGGTTAAACCGCTTGTTTCATTTATTCAAAGAAAAAATTTCATCAATTTACATATTACTATATTTGTAGTATGTTATATAGTACATACTTTTACTTTAGTTCATTGAAAATATTATCAATATTTCAAAAATTTGTTATACCCTGTACCCAAAGGGTACAAGGGTATATTAGTTTTGTGCGAGTGCACATGGAACACACAGAAGGAGGCTTGGTAGACCCCACAAAGTATATATATTCTTGATCAGCATGACAAGCCGAGTCGATATAGCCATGTCCGTCTGTCCGTCTGTCCGTCTGTCTGTCCGTCTGTCTGTCCGTCTGTCCGTCTGTCCGTCTGTCTGTCTGTATGAACGCAAGGATCTCCGAAAGTATAAGAGCTAGAATAACCAAACTTGGTATACAGATTCTCCTGAGACCGAGAAAGGACGAGTTTGTTCATTTTTTCTGATCCACCCCCCCACTCCCCCCCTATTAACGATTTTCTATAACTCCCGTAATTCTTGGAATTTTGAACTAAAATTTGGTAGTCACATTAGGTTAGTAATTATATATCCGTATACCAAGTTTCATTATGAAAGAATGATCGGAAAGAAAGTTATAGCCATATAACCAGGCCCAATGCACACATACATACATATGTACAAGTACACAAACACGCATAAGGCACGATTCTGATGTAAATGTAAATGTATCTATGCATGCATGAAATATTTTATATTTAATTTAGTTAATTAATTAAATTAATTTAGTTAAATAATTAAATTAAATTAATTAATTAATTTAATTAAATTAATTTAATTACTTTTTTGTGGGGTGGTACAGGGTATTTAAGAGTTGAGCCTGCTCGACTTTAGCATTCCTTTCTTGTTTTTTTATTAAATCTGTTTTTCTGAAATTAGTAGTGGATATTTAAGAACTCGAGACAATTCAGGAATTATATTTTTGAATATCATTTTTCATCTTATTTGCCCTGTACTGGGGCCAAAGAACATAAATACTTTAGTATACCAAGTACTTTTCACTTTAACATAAATAAAGTGTAAATACCCCTTTTCTAATATTTAGTTTTATGTTTATGTTCCATGATTTAAACATATAAATGTACATAGGTACGTTAATTTACAAAGTATTCAGGGTCCAAGCCGCATTGAGAACTTTTTGGAGACAACACAGCGAGAGAGAGAGTGAGGATAGTGGGGGGAGGAGTTTAATGAGAACATACACACGGACATAATGTGTAATATTTCCATTAAAGAGCGCTTATATTTACTAATTATGCATTTTTTTGCTTTTATTTTGAAAATTCATAATATTTGTTAGCCATCACACACATCTAACTTTAATTATGAAAGCATTACTGCATTTCACGATATGCAACCGGCTTTATAAAACATTTTTATTGTTAAAAGCGTGTCAATTTCGTACGTGCATTCATTACGTCTTTTAAATGAGAATGAAACAAACACACTGTCTGCACTGCATAAATTACAAATAATGAAAATTTCTCCCATATACATACATATGTAATACAAATATTTCATTTAGACTTTACGCTCGAACTGGATACCGAACCGAATCGGAAACAGAAGCTGCGACGACTGCTATTTTCCAGAGCAATATTAAAAAGCCTATGAGCAAATGATGGAGCCTGCGCGTGTCGTTTGAGAAGAGCTTTTGAAGGAGCTTAACTGACATCGTATAACAGCTAACAGTAAAAAGCTGCTATAAAGCATATTATAACAGAAATCATGATAAGGACCGACTTACCAGTACTTTTTTAAATGTAGTGGGATAATTTTGTTGGACGTAGAATATTTTTGATTATCATATACCTAAAGGATAAATTTTTGAATAGTAGTATGTTTTAAAGGGTTAACTTACTAAGACTTTATTATACCCTGTACCCAAAGTGTGAAAGGGTATATTAGTTTTGTGCGAATGTATGTAACACACAGAAGTAGGCGTGGCAGACCCTACAAAGTATATATCCTGATCAGGATGACAAGACACGTCCATATAGCCATGTCCGTCTGTCTGTCCGTCCGTCCGTCTGTATGAACGCAAGGATCTCAGAGTATAAGAGGTAGATTAACCACATTTGGTATCCAGATTCTCCTAAGTCCAAGAAAGGACGTGTTTGTGGTTTTGCTGATTTTCCCCCACTTCCCCCCTATGGGGGGTTTCCCTATTTTCCATTCGTATAATCGCCTATATCTCGGAGACTATAAGACCTAGGGAGACCAAGTTTTAGTCAAAGATGCCTTATGTGAATACAGAACATGTGTATTTTGGCATTTCCCTCCCTCCCACCTCTCCCATGCAAATCGTAACTCCCGTAATTCTAGGAATTTCAAACTTGGCAAATACCTCCATTTAGTTATTATAAGTCCAAATGCCAAGTTTCATCATGATCGGCCGATTTAACAGGAAGTTATAGCCATATACGTACATAAGACCAAGTAGTGCCCGCAGCTGTTATTGTTGTTACAGACACACATAAACACACACATACACGCATAATTATTCTACACATATGTATAGAGTATTTCAAAGTCGGGACACCCGACTTTAGCTTTTTTACTTGTTTATATTTAATTTAATTAATTAATTAAATTAATTAAATTTTTTTTAATACTTTTTTTTAATTTTCCTTTTTTGCGTACAAGGTATTTTACTGTCGGGCTTGCTCGACTGCAGCGTTCTATCTTGTTTTCTATTAGAAAACACTTTTACATAAAGGTTGAAATGGTACTTACATTATTTAGGAGCTATGGCCGGTGCTTGACGACGTCAGTTGGTACCAAAACATGCGTGCAGTCGGTGAAGCCTTTGATTAAGAACATTTTGGTAATAACGTGATGAGCAGGGGGAGTTGGCCGAATTTTTCCCATGTGTTCCCGAAATTCATTAACGAACAATGTTGATTCTGGTGGTGTGTCGTTGCCTTAAAAAAATTCATTGGGAAGGCTAACTGGTGTCTCATATAACATTTCCGCTACTGAAGATTGTAGGTCTTGCTTAAAACAATTGCGCAAACCGAGAAAAACTGTTGGCAAAAGTTGTGACCACGGAACATCGGAGTGACACATTAAGGCTGCTTTAAAAGGCCGGTGCCACTTTTCAATAAGACCGTTGGATTGTGGGTGATAGGTGGTCGTGTGGATATGCTTGCTGCCTACCAATTTTGCTAGTTCCTTAAATATTGCCGACACGAATTGGGTGCCTTGATCTGTTGTGATTGTCTTGGGTGATCCAAAGCGTGCAATCCAGCCAGCACAAAATGCGCGTGCTACTGTTTCGATTGGAATTTCAATGGAATGGCTTCCGGCCAGTGTGTAAAACGGGTGATCATCGTTAGGCAATAAGATTTTGTTTTAAGGGCATGATGACGACGTCCAAATGTACAGTAGCTGTTGTTGCTTTTCGTTTTAAAATTTAATTTCTGATTTAAAACCATAGAACACTATTTATTACAATTAAACAACAGTGTTCGATGGTCCACTGTATATTTTCAAACATATATGTACATATATGAATGTACATACATACATACTTATGAATGTACATTCATACCATATCTACAGACAAACATACATATGATGTACAGGGTGCGCCATCTTTTATGTCGGTTTGCAAACATTGAATATCCTTGAAAATAAACAACCGATTTTCAAGTATGAGATATACTCTGTACATGAAATGTACAAGAGAATATTGGGTTTGCGCGAACTGAAAAATGTAACAGGCAGAAGGAGGCGTGGCAAACCCCACAAAGTATATATATTCTTGATCAGCAAGACGAGACGAGTCGATCTAGCCCTGTCTGTCTGTCTGTCCGTCCATCCGTCCGTATGATCACCTAGATTTCAGAGACTATAAGAGCTAGAGACACCAAATTTTGTTTTATTTTTTTTGATTTTCCCCTCCACTTCCCCCCTATGGGGGTTTTCCCGAATTTCCATTCGTATAATCGCCTATATCTCGGAGACTATAAGACCTAGGAACACCCAATTTTAGTCCAAGATGCCTTACGTGAATACGCAGAAAACTCATATTTTGGAATTTCCCTCCCTCCCCCCTCTACCCCGCAATTGCGATTTTCTCTAACTCCCGTTATTCTTGGAATTTCGAACTAAAATTACCCCCAGTTAATTATTATGTGTCCGTATGCCGAGTTTCACTATGATAGACCGATTTAACAAGAAGTTATATCCATAAATATATTTGCTGTTGCAGCGCTGCCCAAGCGCTGCCCGCGGCTGTTGTTGATGTTGCTGTTTAGTTGACTGCAAATAGACGCGCATAAACATATGTACATACACTCACACAGACGCAATTGCTATGTAAATGTGCAATTATATACCCTTTACGTGAGTTCGAATACCGAGAAAGGTAAAATCGATCAAATTTTTTTTAATTTTCTCATTTTTTTTATTTTCTATATTTATTGTAAACATATGTACAGAGTATTTCAAAGTCGGGACACTCGACTTTAGCTTTGTTACTTGTTTTATTTAATTTGGTTCTGTACAATTTCTTGAACTGAGGTTTTCAGCACTGGTCTACTCAAGTCAATCGGTTCACTAATGACAAAGTTATTCAATATCTACATACTGACATAAAAGATGGCGTAACCTGTACATACATACATACTTGTATACATATGTACATGCATGGGTTTTATTTTGTTTCTCTTTACTGTTTAAAACGTACGCAGAGGACCGTGTATGTGCAGTCCGTTAGGGGCGTACGCAGCTTTTCCCAAAGGAGGACCAATACATTTTCATTAAATAATGCACTATGCATTTATGCATATGATTATTAAAAACAATTCAACAAATCCAACTCAGTTCAATTTTAAGGCGAAATAGTGCGCCGTAATAATGAATGTGTGTTCGACTTCATATTGCGACATTTTTTTTAGAGGGGGGGCAACCGCTGACAGCTGACTGTCAACGCTCACATGTGACTGACCAATTCTGTAAAAATCCTGTAACGCACTCAGCTGCCAGCAACAGCTGATTGTCGACGAGTACATTTGACCGACTAATTGTGTTTAAATTCTGTAACGGACTATGTTAAATATAAAACAAATATGCCATTTTCATTATTATTGCAATATTAGACCGCGAGCATTTCCGGAAACGCCAATTAATTGTTCAAAAAATACAACACAAATGTTTAAGACGCGCATCTGATCCCACAAAAGAATGTTGCTTATTAAAAATTACATTTATTATACATTTTTTATAACATCGTTTGGAATTCTACGCGGTATGCATAAATTGGTCTAAAACTGCGTACTATTGTGACGATCTATGTTTTGAATTGCGAAAAACTAGCATTTAAAATTTAATTCAGGAAGTACAAAAATGTACATACATTTTGTTTGTATATCTTCTCACCATTATTTTCAACAGCATGATGAAATGGGGCTATTTTCTTCAACAATGGAGAAAATCGGTCATCAAAATGATCCATAAAGCTGGAAGGGACAAGTTTCAGCCATCATCATATAGACCTATCAGTCCCCTGCCATGCCTATCGAAGTCATTCGAAAAACTACTCCTGAATCGCATCAAGCAGCACCTACATCAATCAAATCACCAATTTGGTTTTTGCGAAAAATATGGAACCATTGAACAAGTCAATCGACTAACCTCTGAGATACGAAAAGCATTTGAAAATCGAGAGTATTGCTCCGTTGTTTTTCTGGATGTCGCCCAAGCCTTCGACCGCGTTTGGCTGGATGGCTTAGTTCACAAAATCAAAATATTACTTCCACAGAACATCCACAAAATACTGGAGTCATACCTACAGCAAAGAAGTTTCGCAGTTAGATGCAAAGATTTCCTCTCCGAATACCATCCAATTGAAGCTGGCGTACCTCAAGGGAGCGCAGATATACCGACAAACAGTCGTACAACAATTTCGACATTTGCTGATGATACTGCCATCCTAAGTCGCTCCAAGTGCCCAAAAAGAGCTACAGAACTTTCATCATCATCTCGTGGCCATACAAGAATGGCTAGCAGACTGGCGTATACATATAAACGAGCAAAAGTGCAAACATGTCACCTTTACCCTAAACAAACAAACCTGCCCTCCATTGTCGCTAAACAACATCAATATTCCACAAGAAACCGAAGTATCATACCTTGGTGTCCATTTGGATAGACGGCTTACTTGGCGTGAGCACATCAAAAAGAAGAGAGATCAACTAAAACTAAAAGCTATTAATCTACATTGGCTGATAAACGTCCGTTCACGACTAAAACTGAAGTACAAAGTACTTTTGTACAATGCTGTTCTCAAACCAGTTTGGACATATGGCTCTGAACTATGGGGAAACGCTTCCATTAGTAATTTAGAGTTAATCGAAAGAGCTCAATCGAAGATACTGAGAACCATCACAAGCTACAGAACTTTCATCATCATCTCGTGGCCATACAAGAATGGCTAGCAGACTGGCGTATACATATAAACGAGCAAAAGTGCAAACATGTCACCTTTATCCTAAACAAACAAACCTGCCCTCCATTGTCGCTAAACAACATCAATATTCCACAAGAAACCGAAGTATCATACCTTGGTGTCCATTTGGATAGACGGCTTACTTGGCGTGAGCACATCAAAAAGAAGAGAGATCAACTAAAACTAAAAGCTATTAATCTACATTGGCTGATAAACGTCCGTTCACGACTAAAACTGAAGTACAAAGTACTTTTGTACAATGCTGTTCTCAAACCAGTTTGGACATATGGCTCTGAACTATGGGGAAACGCTTCCATTAGTAATTTAGAGTTAATCGAAAGAGCTCAATCGAAGATACTGAGAACCATCACTGGGGCACCGAGGTACATAAGAAGTGATAATATCCGCGAAGATTTAAATGTGGAATCTGTTAAAGATGAAATCGCCAAGGTGAAAGCAAAGTGCCAGCTTAAGCTTCGGAACCATCCGAACAGACTTGCACAGAATTTAACTTGTCAGGCTAGCCATACACGACTCCGGCGAAGAGACCTCCCCACCCAGCAATAACAGTTAGGCCCGTAAAAAAAAATATTTAATTGTAATTAATTAAATAACTGTATTAGATTAAGATTTTACTACTTATCGTAAGTCTCCTAGAGAGAAGATCCGATAAATAAAGAAAGCTTAAAAAAGAAAAATCTTTAGACTTAACTCAACAAATTGTAATGTTCGAAAAATGTAATGTTCTATTTGGTCCAATGGGTTATCTCTATTGTGCGGTTGTTTTGGATGCTGTGTGTGAATGCTGGTGTTTTAAGTATACATTTAGTAATTTGCTTTTTCAATAATATTTACGTGGGTTATGCAAAATATTTTTGATGTAGATTGTTCAGAAAAACGATAAGGTTTATATTCCAATGATTATTTTTATTTGGAAAAATGTCTTTGTTAGTGTTTTCAATCGAAACTCCTAGCAAAGCAAACAAGATTTGAAACGGTCCAAAAGCGATTTCTGTGGCATTGAGAATTGGTGTTGAAGCGAAACTTGGGCGGAAGACATTTCTGTGGCACCGCTGAGTATGATAGGTATAAATCATGGCAAGTAATTTCTAGAATTAAAAGCTGTACAATTTGGCAAAGTTATTTGGTAAACTTATAAAACTGCACAACATTACATAAGCATACACACATACATTTTTACTTGTATATCACAATTATTTCTTCCACTCTTTAATAAAAAGTTACAAAAATACAACGCAGTATATCTTGTATTCTTTTTCAGAGTAAATACATAAACCAAGTTTAAAGTTAATCGGAATTCTAATTTTCTAAAACCACTTATTGGTGCTCAC